CTGCCTCTGCCTCCCAATTAGCTGGGACCACAGGCGCCCGCCACAACACCCGGCTATTTTTTGGTTGCAGCCATCATTGTTGTTTGGTGGGTCTGGGCTGGGGATTTGAACCTGCCACCTTAGGTGTACGTGGCTGGCGCCTTAGCCGGGTGAGCTATAGGCGCCGAGCCTAATGTTGAAACTTAATCCCCAAAGCAACAGGATTAAAATGTGTGGCCTTTAAGAGATGATTGAGTCACAAGGGGGAATAAAAGTAAGGGGTCTTAAAAAGGGGCTTGTTAGAGGGTCTTCAGCCCTTTTTCCCAGTTTAATCACATGAGGATACAACATTCTTCCCCTCTGGATGCAGCAGCAAAGCACCATCAGAAAAGCAGAAAGCAGCCCTCCCCAGACACATAACTTCCTAGACCCTTAATCTTAGACCTCCTACTCTCCAGACCAAGAGAAACAAATTTCTAAGTGACCCCACCTATAATATCTTGTTAAAGCAGCACAAATGCACTAAGGTACTTGGTAAATATAATACAAAATGTAATGTTTGCCTAAAAGAAAAATTTAAAATAATTTTCAGAGAAAAAGATGTTTGCATGTTATAAATCTAACAAAGACTTACTATAATCTACAGAGAACTCAAATTAATCAACAAAAAAAGACCCAACAATCCCATCTATCACCGGGCAAGAGACATGAACAGAACATGTCTTCTGAGGAACACAGATGAATGGCCAACAAACATGAAAAACTGCTCACTGTCCCTGATCATTAGAGAAATGCAAATCAAAACCATCCTGAGATATCACCTAACCCCAGTGAGACTAGCCCACATCACAAAGTCCCAAAGCTGAAGATGTTGACATTGGTGTGGAGAACGGAACATTTTTATACTGCTGGTGGGACTGCAAACTAATACAACCTTTTTGGAAGTATGGAGAATCAAAAAAGAACTCAAAATAGGGTAGCACCTGAGGTTCAAAAGGGTAGGGCATTGGCCCCATATGCCAGAGGTGGTGGGTTCAAACCCAGTCTTGGCCAAAAAAAAAAAAAATCCTCAAAATAGACCTTTCATTTGATCCTACAATCCCATTACTAGGCATCTACCCAGAAGAAAAAAAAAATCCTTATATCATAAGGATATTTGCACTAGATTGTTCATTGCAGCTCAATTTTTTGTTTGTTTTATTTATTTATTTATTTTAGAGACAGAGTCTCACTTTGTCACCCTCAGTAGAATGCCGTGACGTCACAGCTCACAGCAACCTCCAGCTCTTGGGCTTAGGTGATTCTCTTGCCTCAGCCTCCTGAGTAGCTTGGACTCTAGGCGCCTGCTACAACGCCCGGCTATTTTTGTTGTTGTTGTTGTGGTTGTTGTTGAAGTTTGGCCGGACCAGGTTTGAACCCACCACCCTTGGTATATGGGGCCAGTGCCCTACTCACTGAGCCACAGGCGCTGCCCTGCAGCTCAATTTATAATAGTCAAGGCGTGGAAACAACCTAAGTGCCCATCAACCCAGGAATGGATTAACGAATTGTACATTTTTCTTAGTAAAGTACCACAAGAATGGAAAAGTAAGTATCCAATGTACTCAATACTAATATGAAGCCATTAGACAAACTAATACACACCCACACAAAAGAAAAACTTGATTCAATTCAAGTTGAGGGAGGGAGCACAAGGGGGGATGAAAGGAGAGGAGGGAGAGAAGAAAGGGGTAGAGGGAGAGGGAATGAAGTGCTCCCACCTAATGGACACAGTGTAAGTGTATATGGCCCACCTCCTGGGTTCAGGACAGAGGGACTTTACCTAACAATGAAAATGTTATGACCTAATTGTAACCTCATATTAATTTAAAATTTTTAAAAATTGGCTCAGCATCTGTGGCTCAAGTGGCTAAGGCGCCAGCCACATACACCTAAGGTGGCGGGTTCAAATGCAGCCCAAGTCCGCCAAAACAACAATGACGGCTGCAAC